CTAAAAGATCTGCTCTAGGTATTACTTTGAGGAAGTTCTATGGCCTGTGTTATATAGGAAGTCAGACTAGATGATCACCATGGTCCCTTCTGGCGTGGGAATCTATGAATTTATGATGCTCCAGGTGAAGGAGATCCTGGATAATTATTCTAAGAATAAGAAGTGGCAATGTGATCAGAAATCAGTCAAGATTCAGAGATAGTTGTTAGCAATAGAAATGTGCAAAAAATAATCTGTGCCAATAACAAGGCCAATAAAACAAAGACAGCCTCAGAAGGTGGCATTCATTTCTCTGCTTCCAAGGCGCCTCTGCATCTTGCTTGTATGAAGCCAATTTGCTCTAGATGACAAGATGAACAGTCTCAATTAAATGTTCTTTTGGGATGCTTTTCAAGCACCCAGTAAAAAATTATTTTACCAGTGGTCAAGAATTTTCCTTATTGTTAATTCTTGACATCAAGAAAGGAAAATTTCACATTGGCTATGTCTAGACTGGCATGATTTTCTGGAAATTCTTTTAATGGAAAAGTTTTCTGTTAAAAGCATTTTCAGAACAGAGCGTCTAGATTGGCACGGACGCTTTTACGCAAAAGCACTTTTTGTGGAAAAGCGTCTGTGGCCAATCTAGATGCGCTTTTCTGCAAAAAAGCCCCAATCGCCATTTTTGTGATCGGGGCTTTTTTGCGGAAAACAAATCTCAGCTGTCTACACTGGCACTTTTGCACAAAAGTTTTGCGCAAAAGGAACTTTTGCCCGAATGGGAGCAGCATAGTATTTCCGCAAAAAGCACTGATTTCTTACAGTAGGAAGTCAGTGCTTTTGCGGAAATTCAAGCAGCCAGTGTAGACAGCTGGCAAGTTTTTCCGGAAAAGCGGCTGATTTTCCGGAAAAACTGGCCAGTCTAGACACAGCCATTAGGTTTTATGGGAAAATCCTACAGAATTTAGAAGGGAAGCCTCCAGTAGAACTATAAGATATTTATGCTAAAAGTATTCATAATTTAGTGGAGAACAATAGCCATTCTATACATTTACCCCCATCCAGTAGAATAATATAGCAATGAGATAATTTTCTATCATGTTCTCTTATACAGGTCAAAACATTTATGGAAAGGTTTTCCTTTTCTACTACATTTTTGCTAGGTATGTTAAATATTGGTTAAATGAATAGTTGATAAACCTCATGAATTCTTATTGGTTATTCAATCATCCTCTAGTACCCGGGGGTGGGGCGGCAGCCAGTGCACTCCAGCCCCACTCCCGAGGAGCCCCCTGCAACTCCACGTTGAGGTCTCTGTAAAAACCAGCTTCCCACATGGACTGGCTGCCTGATACAGAGGAAGCAGCATGGGGTGGCAGCACCCCGTCTGGGGAGGGAAAGGGCTGAGCTCCCGGACCTGGCATGAGCCAGAACTGAGCTTGGCTACCTGTTCGCCTGGCTCCTAATAGACTTTAAATGCAGATCCACGATGGGGATAGGTCCCAGAGCCGGCATGAGCCAGGATTGAGCCAGGCTGCTGGCCAGCCTGTTAAAAAATTTACTGGCGGGGGGAAGAAGGGTGCATGTAGTCTACAGCATTAACCTATAAGTTTATCAACTACACTATTACAGCCCTAATTTTTGCATAAGGAAAAAAGGAAGAAGCCCCCGAAAGAGGCTTGTTCACAAATATTTTTAATATATTCAGCAGCTATGAAAAAGTATTGCGCAGGAAGGGACAGAGAGTGAGAGACAGAGAATGTGACTAAGTTCTGTATGTGCCACCTGGCTTCACAATGCAGTTCAAATGCTTTTCTTATAGCTAGTAAGACACCTTTTACAAATAAATCAACCACAATGGAAGACTATCCTAGTCCATAAAAAAACGCTAGCCTGGCCTTCTGTAAATTTCCCAATATCGAGTTAGACAATATATTACTTACAAAATGGCCTATTATCTATAGAGGACATGATCTCTTTATGCCCGTGAGTATCTTTCATGCCCTTGAGTATCTTTATTCAGCTGAGTAGTTTCGTTGAAGTCAAGTACTATTTTAAGCCCCTCTCAGTTGCATCAGTCCTGATCTACAATTTCCATGTCATTTTAATCCTTTGTCTTCCTTGAAGCCAATGGAACTACTCACTTGAGAAAACTTTCTTACACATCTATTTGAAGGATTGGGCCGGTAAAATTAAAATTACTAATCCATGCCTTATATCATAAGAGTTTCTGATTTGGGAGAAATGCCCGTGCAACTACTTTTTTATCCGCTAGTGTACACAAACACTTCAGAAAACAGACAGAACTATCCCTATAGCATGAATTAACTTTAACAGTGCTTGAGTACGAGTTCTCCAAATCAAGAGAAAACTATAAAGAGATAATTTGGCAGTCACAAATGTTTTGCCAGAGTTCTATATATACACACAGATGTACTCTAACAAACCAAGAGATAATGAGGATGACAACAAGACAGACTTAGTTTATAAATCGTTACCCTACAACAGGAACTGCACGAGCTCCAAGGACTAGCTATAAACCTATTACATAATTTTTGGTTCTCATAAATAAAGGAATTTAAAAACACAACAGGGTTTAATGTTTCAATTGTATGTCATTTTAGTGAGGTAGCTTGACCTCCCTCTGACCCTGAAGGGGAAGAACGCTCCAAGACACCCTGCTGGGCAGAGCCAGAGCAACCCATCCCCAGGAAACTAGAAGTATAAAGGCTGGAGCTTAGAGCTCAGGTGGGCCCCAGACACAGAAAGAGCCAGATTCCTTCCCTGAGCTCTTCAGGGAAGAGAAAAACTGGCCAGGACCACTGGCAATCCCAGACACTGAGCATGTAGACTCATAGACTTTAAGGTCAGAAGGGACCATTATGATCATCTAGTCTGACCCCTTGCACAGTGCAGGCCACAGAATCTCACCCACCCCTCCTAGAATAATCCTCTCACCTATATCTCAGATATTGAAGCCTTCAAATACTTTGAAGGCCCCAAGATACAGAGAATCCTCCAGCTGTGAACTGTACCCCATGCTACAGAGGAAGGTGAAAAACCTCCAGGGCCTCTGCCAATCTACCCTGGAGGAAAATTCCTTCCTGACCCCAAATATGGCGATCAGCTAAACCCTGAGCATGTGGGCAAGACTCACCAGCCAGACACCCAGAAAGTTCTCTATAGTAACTCCTATCATCCCTCCATTGACCTATTTCCCACTGATAATGAATGGTCAATTAGTTACCAAGATCATGTTAACCATGCTTGAGTCTTTGTTCCCTCAAGACACTGAGGAGTTGACCCCAAGTCAGGCAGGCCCACAGGGGGAACTGGGAAGTAGCCCGGGGTAGCTGACCTGGGTCTGGCTGAGGAAATGGAGGTAAACTGAGTCAGCATGTTTTAGTCTGGATCCTCGCTGACTCACTGGCAGCTGGACCTGCCACTGTTAGGGCCCTGAGCTGGGATGCAGTGGAGCGAGTATGCCTCTGTCCCCCTCTGCCACCCCAATCAATCCCTGGGTGGCAGTCTCCCCGTTTTGGGGCAAAACGCCCGCACTTGGTCAGCTCTCCACCAGAGCTAAGAGATCTGACAGCTGGCTCAGCCTACAGATGTGAAAGGTTAACCAGTGGGGCCTGGAGCAGCTCCCTACCTGCCATGGGCAGGAGGCTGCTCTCTTCTGAAGCACACCCTGTCCACAGCGTGCCGGGGAGCCCCACAGGTAGGGGCTGCTCCCAAGCGGCCTCTGACCACGAGAGCCCAGGCCCACCACAGACAAGGTCTGCTCTGGCGGGGGATGGGAGACAGCAGCAGCACTACTTTGGGGGATGGGAGTTGGCAGAGTTTGTTTTCTAGAAGGATATGCTAGATATGCCAAATCCTCATACCTAGGGACAGTGGACCAACATACAAGCATTTAGCTCGTAAAGGAAAAGCACATGACAGCTTCAACCAAACACTGAGAGGACAACTACCACTAATCCCCAGTAGAGAGCAAAAAGTAAAGCAAATAGGCCACCTATGCAGTGACTGGTACATTGTTGGAAAATATTGAGAGGACTACCTGTGCTATTGGGGCTATTTTTCCAGTTTTCCATTCAGAATAGTACTGCCCCAGCGAGGAAGGCACATTGGCAAACCATACAGTAAATAGACACGTTCAAGACAAGTCTGCTCTCAATTATGGCCTCATCATCACTTGTGCATGACTGAGAACAGAAGTGTGTGTGAATGCATGGCATATTACATGCATGCTGAGGGAAACATTTATCTAGCACAGAAAAAGTCATGAGTCCCCCTTACAAAATCACAGTGTATCTCATTATGACTGGCAGTCTCAGTTCAAGGGTATTCCAGGACTAAAATGAAAGGAAAGCTGCAGGTCAAGACTGACGCAGCCGAGAGAGAAGGCTTACGTAGCATATGCCGGCACTATTATCTTTGCCTACATTCACTAACACCATGAAAGGATCTATCCACAAAAGGTTAGAAAAGCTGCACCTTGCTAGGCTACCCTAAATTCTGGGTAAAGCACATATTAAACACATCCAAGAAAAAAAAGAATTTATTGTGTACTAAATAATTTATTCTAGTTTGCACAACAGAGGTAGTTTTCATGTAAATGTTGCAGTCCCCAACACAATGGTGAGAACACATCTGTAAGCACCTGTCACATAATTGAATGAAAAAAAGGACTGAGTGCTCTTAGGGATGTGAAGAGAGAAGGTTTAATACACAAAGCAAAGGAAATATTTACAATGCAGAATCATATTTGATTTTCACTAAGGTGACACTGATCACAGGGAGGAAAGAGAGCGTATCACCCTTCAAATTGACCTCATTTTCAGGTACATTTGCAAAGTTGCACTGGCACTGGCTGTAGGTAGAGACTACTTATCTCTTCCAGCAGCAAGATTGACAGAAAACTGGCTCCCAGCAAGAGGTAGGACACCTTGGAGATGAAGGCAGAAAACAAAAGTAATAAACCATACAAACTGGAATGAATATGAGAAATGGCTTACCTAACCGGACAAGATACTGTACAGTTAAAAGAATCATGTTCTCCACACTTAGTAACTGACTGCCAGTCAACCCCAAAAGATCCAAATCCTTTTTCTCCAGCTGTGGAATCTTGTAGCAATTCACCAGCAAGGGACTTACTACAATATCACCAACATTGCCATAGAAATAGGGTAAAGTGCCATAACCTTCAAAAACAAAAACAAAGACACTCAAAACCTAATATTACACAAAATCTTGCAACAGTAATATTCCTTAACTTCTGCTTAATGCTACATATCAAAAGATGGGACCACAGTGACCAAACCAGGCAGAAGAAATCAAGTATGCCAGCAGTGTATTACCCGGTGTATGTTATTGTCTGCATACCCCAAGGTAGTAATTATTTATTCACAGACAAATAGTAAAGTAATCCATACAGTTGTTACCATGACCTTTAATTGCATAAAGCTCTCATTACCTATAAATCAGTGTGCAAAATCTGTCAAACAGCAGTACAGAAATCTTAACCTAGTAAAAGCAGCACAAACTGAATTAAATATGCTTCAGACACTGCTTTACTGTGTACTGTTAGGATGAACATCTTAGCACTTTTTACCCACATTAAACAAACTATGAATGAAAATAAAATATTAAGACATTAAAATAAGCGTCTTTCTGTTAAGATTAAGAATGGCAAAGATAGAACTATTGACTACAGTTTTCTCATATAAATTTTTCTTTTAAAAATAGATTCTCCACAATATTTGGTAGATCATCAATCCTAGTACATCTGGTACTTTACTACAAATGAAACTCTCTTTTTTAACATTGGGCCCACCTGAGGACTGCACTGATAATCTGCCAGGAGCCCAAAGGCTGCTCTTACTTTTCCTGGAATTAAGATAACTACAAGAACCCGCATCTTTCATAAGGAAATGCAGCTACTGAAATTACAGAACTGTATACATTACACTTCCATAAAATAACCCCTCCTCCCCACATACACACACACACACACACACACACACACACACACGACTGTAATCCTAACCTTCCAATCTTTATTCACATAGGTAGCTCCATTACCTCCAGTGAAACTATGTATAAAGACCAGTTGTATAACAAAGGACTTTTAGGAATTTTTCACCTTTTAATTTAGAATTAATTCTTTGGATCATATGGGCATATATGGTTCCCTAATATGCAGGGTGATTTATACAAAGGGATAATACTGAACTGAATTGAACAATCTTGGAATTAACCCTTGGAGTTTTTGGCACTATTCACCAATATGAAGAACTTTCATTATTATTATTTTGGAGGAACATACCTCAAAGAGACATTTGCACAGTAAAAGTCACATTTTAAAATAACAGTAATGTCCTTACATATGGTACATTACTAACAACACGCATTATACAGGTGAAATTTCAATATTCTCATTTATTATTTAGACACTGGGAAAAAAGAGCTAGTCAGTTTTGACTGATCAATTCAACATCAATTTCACTTTCTTGGTTTCAGGTAATGGCACAGGCTATAGTGTTGAACGTAAACACTTGAAAGAAATGTTTGTGTGTCTTGGGAAACTGTTTGCATCAGAAAGTTGTTTTAATTTCAAATAGTCTATTCTTAGATTCTGTAAAAGCTTTGTTTATTCAAAACACAAATTTAGGGTCTAATCTGCTCTGGCCAGGAATCTTTCGTATGTGAAGTCTTGGCAGTAAATCACCCAATTTCTCATTATAAATATTACACAATTAACACAAGAGGCTGCTGAAAGTCTTACGAAACACAGCGACCTTTCTGTTATACTTACTGGCTGATCATAAAAGTGAATTTCACCACCCCCAAAACCTCAAATCCCAGAGGGAGCATGCTATTATTCAAGAAGTACAATGTTGCTTATCCAATGTGAGACTTACCTATGAGAATCACTGGTCTGATTCCTGAGTTATTCAGTAGATTTTCAGGAACTATTACAGTCTCCCCTGCAGGGATGGGCTGAGGCTGTAAAATTCCAGTTAACATGGATTGAGGAACTGGGACTGACAAAAGGGGCTCTATAGAATAAAGAAAGAAAAACTTCCATTACCAAGAGGCTCATACTGTGATTTGCCCCATGAACAAACAAAAAACACTCCTTTAAATCTCTAACTGCAATAAAATTCAAAACACCTTTGCATTTCCTATTACAGTTTTAAGGAATTTAAATTAAGACCCAATATCATTTCCTGGCCCCACCACTAAAATACAACTTTTTTTTTTAACTACTGTATTGTTTGGTGGAGAGGGACAGGAAAAACATAGGTTTGAATATGCATCTTCTCACAAACCTAAGTACTAGGAAAATTGTCCACACAGGCAACTTTTCAGTGCTACCTGTCAGCATAAAGAAGGAAGAGAGATCATGCTCACTTTCGACTTACAATATGTAGGCCAAAATTTCATTGCTGTTTGCATACCACTTTATGCCATTCTGAAGCCAGGAAGATGAAAACTACACTTCAGTCTTGAAAAAACAACAGCAGCTTTCAAAAGAGGAAAAAAAAAGCACTATGCCTTGTAAATCTGTCAGTGTAATAGCTACTTCATAGGGATGTTATGAGGCTTCCTTAAATTGTCCATAATGAATTTTACAATTCCCTGGTGAAAGGTGTTAAAGAAATTCAACTTTTTAATTGTGAGAACTTGTCAGTTTCTAGAAGTTCGTTTAACTCAGAACTTCCTTTCTGAGAACAAATGATACATTGGCATGCAGTAAATCTATACAAGTAAACTGGCAACAACAACAGAGAAGATGGTTTCTAACCACAAGTAACTGGCCACTTACAAAAGCTGCTCAAGGGCTTGTCGGTAAAAGTGTATTCATGGCTAACACAAAAGGACTTAGTGGTTGAGTGAGAAGGCATAAGTCTGGGAGTCAAGTGATCTGGGTTCTAACTTTCTGTATTACCTTCAGCAAGTCATTTAGTACAAGGTCTTAAGAAGTGGCTAGTGATTTTGGGAGCCCACATAGGGTATGTCTACACTCAGGGCTTAACTCGAAATAAGCTAAGCAAATTGAGCTACATCAATTGTGTAGTTTATTTCAAAATAGCTTATTTAAAAATAGGGAGCGTCTACACAGTACTTATTTCGAAATAGAGCACTCTTCCTCCAACTTCCCTTACTTCTCGTACAATGAGGGTTACAGGAGTCAGAGTAAGAAGTCCTCCAGCTTGACAGTATTTTGACACTACTTCAAAGTAACTGCCTGTGGTGTAGACACAGACTAAGTTATTTTGGAATAGCGCTAGTTATTTCAAAATAGTGTTGCCGTGCAGCCATACCAATAGACACAGAGGGCAAGGCTTTCAAAAGTGCTGTGCTCCCACCACTCCCATTGAATACCACTGTGGATGCTCATGCTCTCAAAGTCAAGCCCAAACTGAACACAAAATGGAGGCATCCAAAAATCATTGGCAGTTTTGAAAATTTGGGTCTTAACTTCTTGCTTCTTTCACCTTTTCTACAAAATGGGGACAAATGATACTTACTTCCCTTTGCAAAATATCTTGAATGCTACAGCTGAAGAGCGCTATTATCATAGGAGTTATACATTTCGATGTAATGTTTTATAAATTGTTAATGTACTTTTTTATTTAACCCAAACTCTTTATCTCAATATGGATGCCAACCTTCTATGTCCCTGATAGAGCCATAATGATTCGCCATCCCTTCACTGTCAAGATTCCAAACTGCGATCATCATCCCTTGAGCTAAGGGTGAATTGACAGGATTTTCATGTATGCCATTTTGTTCCGAGAGGCCATGCAGGAGTGGAGCATCTGTAGTATGCTCGGTTGGTCTGGGAAGTTACAATCTCAAGGTGAGGACGAATGGACATTCCATATATTTGGGTTTTTATTTGTGTGTGTGCACGCGTGTGTGTGTACACATACATACACACAGACAATCAATTTTGGAAGCACTAAATTATGGACAGTTAACCATGTGTTTGTATTACTAGTATCCTCATCCTCACTTTTCCCTCTTCTCATTAACTGTCATGTTCCCGTACTGACTCATTTTAAATTAGATTGTAGGCTATTTGGAGCAGGCACCATCTCATCATGTGTGTTTATACAGAATCTAGCAAAACTGGACCTCAAACCCAAGTGAGACCTGAGGTTATTCCTTCAGTAGCAGTGATGATGTGTCCTGCACAACATTTCAGAGAAGCACTATTATGCCACTGAGCTAGATGAGCACAAGTTATAGTCATGAGAATTCACATAATTGTTTAAAAAAAAAATCTTACCTGTTCTTGCAAGAGGCCGAATTGTCGGAACAGGTACAACTAAACCAGGGACAGGTGGGACTGGTGACCCAGGAGACCATCCCCGGTGTCGTTTCTTTGGTGGCCCAGAACTAGACATTGATGCTTAAGAGGAAAAAATAATTCAAAATACTCTTCTTCCTTCCCATTTACATTCAAATACACAAACTCCAGGCTGGATTTTGACCTCATACCTTTTTATGTTGGCATAGCCATAAACACTATTGAGTTAGAGGTACTTTCAATTAACATAAAGCCACATTCTGATCAGACAAATACTAGTACAGTAAAACTCCAACTGTCCAGCATCCAGTCGTCCGGCACTCCCGATAGTCTGGCACCAACTTGAACCCAGAAGTGCTCTGGCCAACCAGACAATTGGAGCTGCTGTGAGCCCCTGGGTGCTCGCGGATGGGAAAAGGGAAGGAGAGAAGAGGGGAAAGGGATTATATCCCTGTGACAGGTCTGCCCGGACCCGCACTGAGACTGGCCGGGGGGTGGGCGGGGAACGGTGTGACGAGGGGCGAACCCTCTGCCATTTTGCAGGAAGGCAGGGGAAGCCCCATGCAGTCTCCGAGAGTTTCCGGGAGCGGAGCGGGCTCCCCACCCCCCCATACTGCAGTAATTATCGCCAAGCAGGGGGGTGAGGGGCAGCGCTGCGCGACCAACCCGGAAGCACCCCAGCTGCTCTGCTCTGCAGCTTCCCCAAGTCCGCCGCTGCCGAAGCTGACAAGTGGCGGACTTGGGGAAGTGACGAGGAGCAGAGCACCTGGGGTGCTGCCGGGTTGGTCCCGCAGCGTTGCCCCTCATCCCCCTGCTGCAGTCTGGGGGGGTGGGGTGGGAAGCCCACTCCCCTCCCGGAAACTCTCAGCAGTGGCGCAGGGCTTCCCCCGCTTTCCTGCAAAATGGCGGAGTGTTCGCCCCTCACCACACCGTTCCCCGCCCACCCCCCGGACACAGTGCGGGTCCCAGCAGACCCGTCACAGCCCCCCACCAGAGCACCTTCCGATACTCGGGCATATCCGATAATCCGGCACCACCTAGGTCCCAAAGGTGCCGGATTAGCGAAAGTCTACTGTATCTACAATGAGGTGTGTATCATTAGCATCAACAATCATGTCAGCAACACATTAACCTGAAACAAACAGGTATGCTGGAAAAGAAAACAAAGCTGCAGTTTTCTGGCTTAACAGCACATGCAGTAACGAGTTCAATAATAAAAACACAGATTTTCTTTTACCTTGATCTACAGAAAAACACCCAGGGCTGGGGGAAGTTGAGTGAGGCATCGGCAGAGAGAATGTAGAGCTCAACACATTATTTCTTCCTCCACTACTGTTTCCATTTGCAACATCGCCGGTGCGCAGTGTAAGTGGGGCTAAATACAACAAAATACACAGAGAATGAAGCTTTAGACAACCTTGAAAAAATAAATCCTATTGCAAAATGTAAAGCAAAGAGAGAACAAGATTTGTGACTGAATGAACTCTAATACTGGGGCATTTTCAATACAATGTATCCATCTCACCAGGAACGGGGCTTCTACAGTTCAAGGGGGAAAAATGAAACAAAACAAAGCCAAAAAAGATGATGATTTTGAATAGTAATAGAGAGGTAGTCGTGTTAGTCTGATCTTGGGAAAACAAAAGGAAAAAATATGTAGCACTTCAAAGATTAACAAGATAGTTTATTAGGTGATGCGCTTTCGTGGGCCAGACCCACTTCTTCAGATCTGAAGAAGTGGGTCTGGCCCACGAAAGCGCATCACCTAATAAACTATCTTGTTAATCTTTGAAGTGTTACATATTTTTTTCTTTTGTTTTATCAAGAATTTTGAAGCATTTTTACTGGAAGTTACAAATGACAGGTGCACCTGCTGCACGTGACACAGTGGGGCAGGACCCGTGGGAGTTTTTGGGGCAGGCCGACCCCTTGCAGTGTGTCAAGTGCAGCCTCCCTGCCGAGTCCCCTGCGCAGAGGGAGGTTGGTGTTTCAGGGTGATCTTTCACCAAAATGCTGCGACTGCTTTGTGCTACCCACTTCCATGCTGGAGCCACATTTCTTTATTGACAAAGAAAATTTGCAGCATTTTAAAATACTGCGGGTATAATTTTAATTTTCTGCTGCAGAACTCCCTCAGGAGTAAACATCTCTAAGGGTGTGTCTAGAGTACAGGGTTTTGTCGACAAAACTATACCTGCGTCTACACTACCGCTGAGTTCTGTCGACACAACGTCGACAGAACTCAGCAGTTTTGTCGATAGTGGTAAACCTCATTCTACGAGGAATAATGCCTTTTGACAACAGAGTTCTGTCAACAGAAGGCGTTATTGCATCTATACTGTCCTTTGTGTCTACACTCTCATGTCAACAAAGTGGCTTGCTTTGTCGACAGAATTGGATGTAGTCTAGACGCTCTTTGTCGACAGAAGTTTTGTCAACAGTATCTGTCGACAAAGCCTCTGTCGACAAAAGCCTGTAGTCTAGAGGTACCCTAAGAGATTACATAAGGTCATTCTTGGAGACTAACATGTGGACAGGGTAAGAGTCTCACCTCTTTGAGAGCTATTTAAAGGTGCCACATTACTCAAAGTTGATTTGATGGGGTTAACCAAGGAAATAACTGGCCCCTGTTAAACTATAGTGACCAGACTGTCAAGTTTGAGAATCAGCACACTATGCAGGGTGTAGAGAGCAATGGCAATGCCAGATGTTGATGTCCAGAGTTTTTGAATGGTACACAAATTTGGGGATTTGGATAACAAACGTGCCCACTGCTATACAGACAGCTCCTCACTCTACTCGTGTTCCTGTAAAGTAAATTATTACCTGTTGCAAATGTCTTTCCTACAAGCTGCACAGACAAAGCCAGTGGCTTCACTATGTTCTTGTTCCGGGATAGGTCTTGAGTTCCACTTATATTAACAGCAGAAGATGATTTTGCCGGACTGAATACTGAGGAGTCTGATAAAAAACAGTTTGATTAAATCACTATTTGAAAATATCTATAAATATATCAGTACATGCCTAAGAAGTCATCACATAAAGATTTACCTCATGAATTAATATTAATCGATTAATATTGTAGGCAATGCTAATAGTATGGTACACTGCCAGAACGATCAAATGGAATCAGGAGGAGAAAAAAACTGACATCCAAACAAAAAAGATTCTAAGGATGCAGAGTGGCAAGCACAGAATTAAACAAACCATGCGACATTATGACCACGGAATCAAAAGTGCTCTAAACAATAGAAAAGCGAAGATTTTTAATGGGATCTGAAAATTGTCATAGATCAACCAGCGCAGGAAAACAGGCTGAACACAGCTGCAGGAAAGATGGGTTAATGGACATCACCACACCAGGAGACAGAAATATAAAAAAGAACCAAGAGAAGATGAAGTATGAAGAATTCAGCCATGAAGTGGAACAACTATAGAAAACTAGACTAAAAGATGATCCCATCAACTAATGGAGCACTTGAAATGGTCCCTAGGGTATGAATGAATTGCTCAAGAATGCATTAGGAGTGCAAGAATTCCAGAAGAGACAGTGCTTTTAGACACTGCGAGGATTTTGAAGGAAGCTAAAGAAGGAGGAGTGCATTTAAGCACCTAAAATACAGGAATTGCATGGAGGACTTAACAAAACTTCTGATTATCCAAACCAATTAAGTTGGATCATGGTCGGAATTTATACGTGACTCACGGTAAATTTTTGACAGTACCTTTCTCCTTTTTATGTTTAAAGATCGTGTATGTTGTGAAGGCTATGTGCTTGCAAAATACAATCTCCATATCTTAATATTGAGGGATGATAATATCACTGTACTATTCCTAAAAAGCAATTCTTCATCATGCTTATTAACACTTACATAATCCACATACTATTTTCACATGTAAAACACTTTCCAAATATTCATTAACTGTTCTTCATAATAGCTCAATGGGATAGGTGAGTAAAAATTATTGTCCCATTTTGTAGATAGGGAAGCTGAATCAGAGAGGTTACGTGACTTGCCCACAGTAGTAAAAAGAGCATGTATCAGAATTCAAGGGTTCCTGATGCCATATCTTATATTCAAACTATAGTTTGAACCTTTCTGGTCCAGCACCCTCAGGACCCGACTGATCCTGGATGAGGGATCCAGGACCAATGGAGGTCATTTCTGGCTCCCCTGCTGCCGGCCCCACCACTTACCCTGCCCCTACACTGGGCTTACGAGGTCCCCCGCAGCTCAGTTGAGTTGCACACCAGCTCCCAAACACTGCAACCCTTGCACTTAGTGCAGGCTCTTGTCCCACCCCCACGCAACCTAGCTGACTCTCGGATCCTGGAACATCCGTGGTCCTTTCTGACCATGGATGTTGCTGGACCAGAAAGTTGCAGTGTATAGAGGTGCAACCTGTACTAGAACACACTTTCCTCAAAGCACTTTTGAGAAGTGGATAAGAATTATGATTCCCATTTTATAGGTGGGGAAATCACAGAACAGAAAGTTTAAGTGAATTGCCCAAGATCATACAACAAATCAGCAATAGAACCCAGCCTTTGACTTCAAGACCTCTGATCAAACCATTCGACTTTTAATACCAGCAACTCCATTCAGATCAAATTCTTCACTTTGTATGTGGACACACTGCCATCTCTAAATTCTTAAGACAGAGCTGGCAAGGAGCTGGGGTATGGTGGGAGAAGTAGAACCGTATGGGCAAAGAATAGAGTGTAGGGGGAGCCAGAGTGGATGAGGAGCAAGACTATGATTAAGAAGCAAAGGGCAGAGGAAAGAAAAACTCAGACAGTGAGCCTGGAGTGGAAAGAATTGGACTGGCTGGGCAAGAAGACTGGGTTACAATGAGAAGTCTGGGGAGTGGAGACTGGGACTCTGTGCAAGGAGATTGGAACTGGGATAAGGAGTCGTGGATGCACAAAAGACAGGACTGGGATAATGGTAGTTTGGAAAGGATACAACAGGAGTCATCAGGCTTACAGAGCAAACGGGCAAAAGAGTCTATGCCTACCAAAAAACATTGTCTTCCACAACCCAGAAAGAAATTCAAGATAATCACCAACGAACATAGATGTGAAAGCCACTGGCAAAGCAAGCATCTCAATTTACTAGTGCTATCAGTTACTCTGTTAGCTCCAGCAGCACAGGTCTGTTTGGTTCATCTAACAGTTCAAACTCTGTTGGTGAACCACAAAGGTGACCACCTGTCATTACACTGAGTTTCTGGCTTGCTCAGTTCACTTCTTAAAAAAAATTATATAAATACAGTTTATGAAGGTTGCAGATTCTAATGCTCTAAAGATGGAAATACCATCATTAAGGTTGCCTGTCTAACCTGAATTTGGGCTCCTGGGTGTAAGCATTATATTCCACTATTTAATTACATGATCACATACTCAGGGGTAAGGATGTTAAACTGTGGTTATCTAGCTAATTAGTCAATAGGACTGCTCTGCAGAGCCACAGTGGAGATAGCTCCAGGAGCTAGGTCGAGCAGGGATGGGGCATCCTGTCTCATGCCAGCTCTGGGAGCCACCTGCACTACAGCTCTGCATTTTAAATGTAGTTTAAACTGCAGAGGCGCAACATCTCAGACCAGTGCCAGCCAGGACTGCTTGTCTCTGCCTTGCTCTGAGTCCATTCCAGGGCTGGCCGCAAACAGGAGCTGATTGGCAGTAGCAGACCCTGTCTGAGGGGGGGCCCAGTTCCCCACTGGGACCCCTGCGGATAGGGGCTGCTTAGCAGTAGCCTCACCATCCCTCCACCTGCTGCCTCTATGAGTGCCAGTGGGGAGGGGGAGCAAGTGGCACCCCAGAGACAGTAATGGGTAACCAGCTTTTAAGCCAACTACCCCCAGCATCAGCTCCTGTTCACCCACCTCCACTGCTGCCCCATAGGGCTCTTGCTACATTTCAAAGGCTGAAGCACCACAGTAGAAACCGGCGCGAGCAGGATGGCTTCAGTCCCCATTCATACTTTCCCCACAACTGTGCCTCTGCTTTCCCTGCCTCCTGTGGAGACGGTGCTGGAGGGAACTGGCTTTTATGACAGCTTAGCCCCCCGCCAATGGGGGCGGGAGGGGTGGGGGGAAGCTACTAGCTGAGTCACTACTCGACTATCCGATAATCTTATGCTCATCAGATAGCCGACTAGTTGCATACATCCCTACTCAGAGCTGGCAACAGACTTCACTGGGCCCTGGGCAATGTGGTACAGGGGCTCAGCTCCAGGCCCCGCAGAAGGGATGTAGTCTGGGGAAGAAGGGGAGGAGCTATGGGCAGCTACTATTATAAAATAATTGTTTGAACCTCTCCAAAATTTCCCCCAGATGTGAAAAATTAAGATTAAAAAAACCCTGAAACATGCTTACAAATAAGCATTGATATTATATGTCAAAATATAAAAATACTGAATTCTACTACAGGTTGGACCTCCCTGGTCCAACACCCCTGGGACTTGACCAGTCCCAGACAAAGGAATTTGCCGAATCAGGGAAGGTCTGGGGTGGGAGGGGTGCCGCCAGCATTTCCACTGAGATCCTCTCCCCAGCCACCTAGCACCGCTGTCCCCAGCTGCCTGGCTGCAGCAGCCCTGAGGGCTCTGCAAGCTCCAACAGCCCTGCTGACTGTGGGCTCTGCAGCCTCACCCCCACCCCATGGACTCCAGTATCCCCACCGGCTTCCTGACCTTGCTGGCTGCAGGCTCTGGTGCCCCATGGGCTCTGAAGTCCCACTGGCCTTGCCCACTGACTCTGCTCCCAGCTGCCGGCAACCTCTATGCTGGGGCTCTCTAGTCTAGCAACATCTGTGGTCCTGCTAGACGATGGATGTTGCTGGACCAGTGAGTTCCGGACCACAGAGGTTCAACTTCTAATTGTAAATCATAATGCATACACACAATGGGGCTGTATTCAGGTTCACAGGCAACCTCAACTCTAGAATTTCCTGCTTTTGAACTACTTTACTTTGCAACCTTAATGTTCTTTTAAAATACGTGTGTGTGTGTGTGTAGCGTGTTTGTATATAAAATCTGTGCAATAATCATATAACTTCTAAGGTTACTAGGGACTTGTACTTCACTTGCAAAGCTAGAAAAAGAAAAGTACTCACAATTTCAAGTTCAGACCTCAGGAAAGAAAAATGGTAATAAATAGAGCATAATTTTAGAAAGCAACCTAATTTTATCACACCTAACTGAAAGCAATAGAGAAAGTAGTTCACCTGAATGTATACATGCCATGGAGACTTCAAGGGAGAAACATGAACTCTCCTTACAGGTGGTCACACAGTATTATACCCTACAAACAAATATGGTGGGCTTTTCCCCCTTGTCAAGTGGAATTTGGATGTATGAATGTGGCACTATCTTCACTGGGAAGGTAACAATGGTAAGAGATAAAAAGGATTTGATAACCGTGACCAGGGAACAAACATTGATACAAAAGGACAACAGAAAGAAAACCATGGTGAGCTGATAAGAAGAAAGCAGGCTATAAAAGGTGTACCTATCAACTTGTCAGCTGCAACCAAGACAAAGCTAGGTAAATATTAGATTACTTGTTATGTCTTTAAAATGGGGTTTTGTGTGCCTGCACATTTCCCAGGCAAGAACCTGGAGGCCATGGCATCACAACTTTCTCATTCCAGATTCAAAATACAATCTAAGTAGGAATAAATCCCCAAATCTCAAAGTGTCCCTGAGCACACTACCTAATATTTGCCATCCCAATAGGAATGCTAATGTTCACTCTTATTTTTGGCATCCTTCATAAGCAAATGAATTACTGAAACAAGGTTTTTTTTAAATATTGCACTTCATATCATTCCACGTACACCTATGTTCTACCATGTGCATCCAATTAAAATTCCTGGATAACTGAATTTTTTTTTTTTTTTAGAGATCCTGTTCTGTCTTTACATCGTTCAGAGACAGCAGAGATGTGTACTTTATTCAATCATGGCTCATCTGAATAAAAGCCTCGTGTTTTCAAAATCTAGCAAATAAAGAAAAGACAATCAACTACACCAGATAAATCAACTTTAAAAGCTGCAATAATCTACAAAGCATACCAAAGAAAAAAAAATCACCTTTAGAGTGCAGAAGAGAAGCTCTTTTAGGTGAAACTGTTATGGTTATTAGAAAAAAATCTTTATTTCTACTTAAATCAATGTACAGCTCCAAAAGGTAAGAATTTCAAAGCTTTGGCAATATGGCTATGATGTGTTTTAGCTCACTTTGAAAATCACTGAAATGTAACATAACTTTTATCACAAATCAATTGTGAGAGTCTGGAAGAAAACACCCAGAGGAAGGGAATATCAAAAATAGTAGGCTGTTTTTCTTCAATGAAGAAAAAGATGTCAGTTCAAGGTACCCATTCTGCTAAGGATGCTTACTATAAATTAGTATGTCATAACCTTTGGGACATCAGTGATAGATAGATAATCAAATGGACTAAAAACATTAGACTATTTCAGCATATTATTAAGAGCTAAATTTATACCAGTCTCATCTGCTCCTTATTAGTATCAAAATATATATTTTGAAATTTGTTTTTCCATCTTTAACCTATAAATGATACACATTAAAATCTACTTGGCAACCCTAACCAGGAACAAGTGAGGTACTTCATCACCCTCACAATGGTCATTTCTACGGCATACAGCATTTTCACAGCCCCTACCTGTCTGTGTGAACCCTGATTTGTATCCATTAGCTCTTCCGCTCTCTGGGGTCATGGATGGCGATACTGAAGAATTTGGTTTAGCAGAATGGCTAGCAGCAGATGATTGTCTGCTTCTGCATTCTGGAAGTGAAGCAGCTATAGTACAGATTAACAAGGCCGGGCTTTCAGTGCAACAGTTTAGTACAATGGTGTAAAACACTGACAAATGTTACAGCACATACATGCAACAAATAGCAAAGCTCAGCTAAAATATCTCTCAGGATTCAACCAACCTAATTTCATTATTTAGTCACAGAAACCTGGCCCAAAACACTCAGCATGCCAGCAAATCTGTTATGATCAGAATACCAACCTGATCCTGGGAGGTGTCAAGAGCCCTCAACTTAAAGCTGAAGATATTCACCCAAGTTGCACCGAGGGTGCAAAACAAGCTAACAGAACCTGAGTACATATGATCCCTCTTTCCATTCCCCTGAGATCAGTGCCCCCAGATTTTATCTTATAATGCTCTTTGTGGGATTAGCTGTTCTATGAGTGGTAGCATGAATTTGTAAGAGATAAAATCAACAGACCAGTAACAGAAACTGCTGCTGGAGAATAGGCTGACAGCTACTCTGCCAGATGTTGGAAGAAAACACCCAGACAGAGGAAGGGGTTATCAGGTTGATGGACCACTTTATTTCTGCAGAAGGGGGGATTTGAGGTCACCGTTAGGCTTGTAGCAGGGTGGGGATAGAAGAGAAATGGGTCGGAAACCCTCGTTTAACCTAAATCTTTAACCTCCTGGGAAAAATCCTGGCTCCACTGAAAGCAATTAGAGTTTTGCCACTGAGTTCAATGAAGCCAGGATTTCACCCCCTTACTTATTAAATACTAAGCCCCCAAACTTTTAAGATTCACCCTACTTTACATAAAAACATTCTATACTGTGTTCTAGCAAATAGGAGATTCTTTACCTTTCCAGCAGATAAGGGGTCCCTTTGACAGTACACCTTGGGAGCTTCTTACTAGGTAGTACTTTAAGTGCTTCTGCTTCTTTGGTTGAGTGGTTAGTTTCAGGTTAATGTGGTTGGAAAATTCTGTGAAGTATCGAAATCCCCTTTCTCCACAGCCTATACAATTCCCAGAAAAGCCTGAAGGAAAGGGGTGGGGAGAGGTACACAAGCAAAATGAATTCATTTGACATACACTACAAATCCTACCATTTTAGAGGTTTTAGCCTTACCTGAGTGTACTAATTGATACTTCCATTCATATGTCTACTGTAAGATTCACACACAGCACATAAATGACAAGACGACAAACAGAGACCGACTTTTACTGCATCACCACATAGTTAGAGAATTCCTTTTCTCCAGCTGTTGATAATTTAGGCCCAGCAGCTACCTCTCAATCTTCCACACTGTCCAGTTCCACAGAGGGCAACATGTTTTCAGAAGTGAGCATAATATGTACTTGAAAACTGGGAAAGTGATTACATAGGATTAGCTAACCGACTCCATGTTGGTACCTTTCACCCCTGCCCCTAGCACATGGATAGGAAGGACCAGCTCCAATAAACATGCTACCTTCCCCAAAACTGACTGGTCCAGAGTTTTCTATATAAAATTAATGCTTCCTAAGGCAGCCTGAATTCCCAGTGGTCTCTCTCAAACGCCACTTTAGTCTTCCCGAAGAAGAAGCCCTCAAAGTGTGTATGTAGGGTAGGGGAGTAATACTTCAGTATTACTAAGTGGTCAAATGTAAAAGTGTGACTGTGTCCCAATTTTCTTACGACTCATGATTTTTTCCCCTTTATTAGGGTTTTAATAAGGAATAAGAAGAATACATAAGAAATCATTTAATCCCAAATCCTTAGTTTTACAGGGACAAATTCAGTGCTTTCATTAAATTTAAGAGATTAGAAACACGACAGATTAGGAATACAGCAGAAAAACTGTGCAGAAGATAATTTGACAGTAGATACACTGAAATTATTTTGTGCAAAAAGCAGAATTACAGGTTTGAAGTAGGGTTTGTAAGGTGGTGCTAAAGAATTAGGGCTATGTGATTTTCACTGAGGTCAATGGAAATTATGCACAAACAGAACTGGCTTTTGAGTAATGGATGGGGAAAGGCTAACGGGTTATTTCTAACTATATGACCTCGCATTTGGCTTTTCTAAAACATGTTTGAATAAGCCCAGTTTATCCATCAATCAAGATTGTTCTGTACAGCTGACACGTTCTTAATATTTGCCAATTTACTAATTTTTGCATCCCCTGCAAACTTTACCACGAAAGTGTTTATATTTTCTTTTTAATCACTGATAAAAATATGGAGCACCACTAGACCTAGAACAGATCCCTGCAAGCAGATGCGTTGGAACTAGGGATGCTGAGGGTGCTGACACAACCAGAGCTGTCCCGTCCCTAGGATGGTTTGGCATGGCTACCCCAGACCCTGCTCTTTGGGAGGCGCCTGGAATGGCCACCTCAGCCATCCTATGGACGTGACAGTCTCCCACGTTATCCCTGGGGACATTACCAAGACAGCCTGGAGCATTTCCAAGGAGCCTGGCATTTGGTGGCAGCAGAGGTTAGGTCCCCAATACATTCACCACAGTGGCAGGAAGAGGAGCTACCTGGCAGCCTGCTCTGCTCCACTGCCATCTCTCAGTCCCTTGCGCTCTGCTTCACTGCAGTGGCAGAGCAGGGACAAGGGGTGGAGCTGGAGCAGGGTCTAGCTATTCCTCCTAACTTGCAGTTACCTGGATCATCCGGCTTACCTTTTTAAATACTGCATGATATGACTTCTTTTACCCACTATTCCATGATTTATTTTGTTTTTTAAATCAATAATGGGCTCAGAGCTCGTGAGACAATTATTTCACACCTCTTGTATATATTATTAGAATTTTATATTTTTAACTTTAATAGCTCACTGGCAAAGCAGACATGAATTGTTGGCTCCTTGCCAAATAAAAGATGGTAGGCAGCATAAGACTAAACTAGTAAGGGAGTAAGCAAGTTAAATTTTGATTAATTAACTAATCGAATAATTTGCTGGGATTTCCATCAACTATTCGATTAGTCGATAAGGACTAGCACAGCATTCCGCCTCTGAAATGTACAAGAGGCCCAGTAGGGGTTCTTGTGTGTTTCAAAGACTGAAATGCTGTGTGGAGCCCGGGGCCATCAGAGAGTCCTGCTCACCCAAAGCTCCATGTGGGTGCTTCCACTTTGAAATGTATAAGAGCCCCAGTGGGGACACTTGTATATTGCAAAGCTGGGACACCATGTGGAGCCGGGGGTGAGTGGGGGACTCCTTGCTGGCCCTGGGCTCCACACAGCGTTCCAACTTTGAAATGTACACGAGTCCCCACTGGGGTTCTTGTGAATTTCAAAGAGGAAGCACCACAAGGAGCTTGGGGCCAGCAGGGAACTCAGAGTGATAGAGGCAGCAAGGGGGGTAGCAACTAGTCAACTAGTGTGTCAACTATCCGATAAGCTTTTGCTTATCGGATAGTTGACTAGTCAATTAGTCACTTACATCCCTAGAAGGGAGGGTCTTAAAAGGAAAGAGATGTAATTGGTAACACAAAAGTGGAAAAGACTGAGCTAGAATAGGAATAAGCGGGGGAGATACAGTGCGGGGGGGGGGCGAGGCAGATAGGGTAATCTGAATGGAGAAGGGGCAAACAATACGGTATCTGTGAAGGACAAAAAGGAGGAGGCTGCAATAGTTAGGATGCAAGATAATTATGGCCCATACTAGAGCTTTAGCTGAATAAAGCTGTTAGAACTTTAGTGTAATTTCTTGGTTACTGAAAAGTCCATCTCAGTGTATTCCAGGTACCACAGCAACTGGGGGGGAGAGAAAAAGGGATTCAACATGGTGCCAAGAAATCAACAACCCTACATCATTGTTCCTCTTGAAGTCACAGGGCAAGCGGGAAAGTCAGGTGGGCAGATGCATGTCTCCAATTACCAAGAAAAGTGATTCTGTAAATTAATCTTTTAATTATTATAAAAATAATCTGTGCCTGCTTATGCACATTTCTTATTCATGAAATAGAAACAATTGTAAGCAGTTAAAATTAACTACAGACAGTCCCCGAGTTACGCGGATCCGACTTATGTTGGATCCACAGTTACTAACGGGGCTTTTCTCGCCCCGGAGGACGGGAGCGGCGGGCCGCCCAGATGAGCCGCGGTCCCGCCGCCCGCGTCCTCCGGGGCGAGAAAAGCTGCTCCCCGTCTCCCTGGTCTGCTGGTCACAGCAGGGAGATGGGGAGCAAAGCCTCGGAGGCCACCCGCA